AGAGAGAGAGAGAGAGAGAGAGAGAGAGAGAGAGAGAGAGAGAGAGAGAGAGAGAGAGAGAGAGAGAGAGAGAGAGAGAGAGATCTGTCTCTCTCAGTCTCTCTCGCTCTCTGAGTTCTCTCTCTCTCTCTCTCTCTCTTTTTTTTTTCTCTCTCTCTCTCTCTCTCTCTCTTGCGCTCACGTGTGGTGTTGAAGTTTGACAATGAGATTGAATCTTCCTCAAGAACAAAGGAAGATCCGTTCTCGTTTCTCTCTCTCTCTCTCTCTCTCTCTCCACCCCCGCACTACCCCACCGCCACGCAAGGATGTCTTTCTTATGTTTTTGCTTTTTTTTCCAAGTCGAATATCATTTGTTTTGTCTTTTTTCTCTATTACTTTTTGTTTTTTTTGGAAGTTTGCAGCAACTTGAACCGCAGATTCGTTTCAGCGACCCCCGAAAAACGTGGTCGTAAACAAGCAGCCTAGTTTTTTTTTAAGCTGGGCGAAGTACTGGTCGTGATATCCATCCCACCCCTGGAAGGCTGTAGTGTCCAACACTCCACACACTACACACAACACCACACGGACACGGCAATTCTCACACACTTCGCTCCAGTCAGCAGAGTCCCTACAACTGGTACTCCCGCCCTGTCCACCACACGGGACGTATTAACCAGCGGTTAATGGGTGCTTCCACAACGGCTATGGATCGGCACAACTGACCCCTAAGTCCTCCGTGCAAGCACGGATTCGGACCACGCAGGGTGCATTGTGCTCGGGGAAAGTCGGTCCCGATACGGGTGTTCAACGTACATCTCAGAGAGAGATCTCTTTTTTCCCCTTTTTAGATAAAACTACACTATTGCGAGGAATGAGTCCTTTCGCATGGCCAATAGGCCCCAGCAGGTGATGCCTATGGGGCCCCCTACAAGCCTCGTGTCGGCCATATAAGCCAAGGTGGGCCGGAATTATTCCTGTGCGGCCTTTTCAGGCCAGTTCTGAACTTGGGGTCGCCAGACAGTTACCACGCACCAGTTCAACATAAATCGAGAAAATGGTCTAAATTTTTTCTGTTGTTGGTTGTGGGGCCCCCGGCCTGCTGTGTGACCAAGCATTCGTGAGCCTCCCAGGCTCTTCCAGGCAGTGACCTGGAGACTCGCCTCTCGGGGAATCAGGACGCAGCAAGCAACATGAGTCACGTCGCACAGTTGGGTTGCCTAACTGCCGCTGGACCAGGCCGCCGCTATCCGCTATCTGAATTGGGCCTGGGCCCATGTCGCACAGTTGGGTTGCCTAACTGCTGTGGCCGCTATCTGAAATGGCCGTGGGCCTACGTCGCACAGTTGTGTGGCCTAACTGCTGCGGTCCGAGGGCGCTCTCTAATTGGGCCTGGGCGCAGTCACTTTGGGCGACGTCAAGCTACCGGGAACCGGACGCCAGGCCCAGGGGGAGCCAGCGCAGGCAGCCAGCGCAGCACTTCCCATTTAGAAAAGTGCCCAGCCGCCAGGGAGCAGTGTACAGCGAGGCATTCTGGCTTGCGCATGACCTCTCGGTGCGCACACGGGCGCAGAGAGGTAGAGGGGTGCTGCTGGGCAGCGGGCGCAAGCGGCCATAGCCGGACCTGCTTGTGGAATGCCGCTGGGCGATGGTGATTTTCGGGAGGAGGTGCACATAGTGGGTGGAGAGGGAGACGTGAAGGAGAGGTGAGTGATACACGTACCTGGTGTGTATGCGGCAGTCTGCATGGGCTACGTCGTCACGTACATTCTGCATGGGCTACGTCGTCACGTACATTCTGCATGGGCTACGTCGTCACGTACATTCTGCATGGGCTACCTCGTCACGTACATTGGTCTAGGGGGCTGGAAGTGGAGCTTGGTTGCTTCGTCATTTAGGTGTAGGGCAGTATAGGTTCTGAGTAGTGGTAGGCTGGGCGCCTATCAAGAACGAGGGCGACATTGGATACATTGTTCATGGTTGTGAGAAGAGGGGCTGACATTGACATTGGAATTCATTGCTTCTCTTCTTTGGCCTTGTATCTCAGTGCTGTCTGCTTTCTGCGTTCTGCTTGCGGCACGACTATCTCTGGTCTTCAAGGTGATGTTGCAATTTGGTTTTCTGTCTATCGCTCTCGCTTCATTTTTCTTGCACTGTATTTCTCTCAAATTCTTTCATCTTTCACGACCTCCCTACCACTACTCCTAAATGTCTCGAATTTTATAATTAGAAAAGAGGAAAGACAAGAAAAAGATAGGGGTGGGTGTTCATGTGACGGTAGAGAGCGGGAAGGCAGCAGCTGTACGGTAAGATACGGGTGCGTACTTTCTAAATTTGGAAAGATACGGGTGTTCGTGTGACCGTAGAAAGCGGGAAGGCAGCTGTGCAGTTAGTGCTTTCCAAATTGATTCCTACAAACATAGGCGCGGGGGAGGTGATGACGTGGACGAGTTGTAGGAGGTGATGACGTGGACGAGTAGGAGGATGTGATGACGTGGACGAGTTGTAGGAGGTGATGACGTGGACCCTGGGGAGGAGGTGATGACGTGGACTGTGGAGGAGGAGGTGGTGACGTGGACTGTGGAGGAGGAGGTGGTGACGTGGACTGTGGAGGAGAAGGTGGTGACGTGGACTGTGGAGGAGGAGGTGGTGACGTGGACTGTGGAGGAGGTGGTGACGTGGACTGTGGAGGAGGAGGTGGTAACGTGGACTGTGGAGGAGGAGGNGAGGTGGTGACGTGGACTGTGGAGGAGGTGGTGACGTGGACTGTGGAGGAGGAGGTGGTAACGTGGACTGTGGAGGAGGAGGTGGTGACGTGGACGAGGAGGAGGAGGTGATGACGTGGACCCGGGGGAGGAAGTGGTGACGTGGACCCGGGGGAGTTGGTGGTGACGTGGACCCTGACGTGGACTGGGCAGGAGGAGGTGGTGACGTGGACCCGGAGGAGGAGGTGATGACGTGGACTGTGGAGGAGGAGGTGGTGACGTGGACGCGCAGTGATGAGGTGGATGGGCATGAGGAGGGCAGATGGGAGGGAGTTCTGGTGAGAGCTCAGGAAAGTGAAAAGAGTGCGAGCGAAGCTGTGAACATCGCTCCGACTAAGCAGTCGATCGATAGGGAGAGAAGGAAGGAGGAACTCAAGAAAAAGACTCGTGGTAAACACACGAGCGATGATGGGAGGCACAGAGCTGTGAAAGAGAAGGGAGAGGGAGAATAGGAGTAGGAGGAGGAGGAGGAAATAGTTGAAAGAGAGGGGTGAGGTCAGAGGGCGGTGAGTGTTTTTTTGCGATAATGGTCGCTCGTCAGCGATAGGGTGTTACAGTAATTGGCAGAACGAGCTCAGCAGAGGAAGCGAAGTGATGGCCGGCCGCGTGTTGTAGTGTACAGCGGCGGTAAATGGTGGGAGAGGGTAGGTAAAAAGTCGCGGCGGTAAATGGTGGGAGAGGGTAGGTAAAAAGTCGCGGCGGTAAATGGTGGGAGAGGGTAGGTACAAAGTCGCGCGTATTTGTTTCTGAAAATGCTAAAATAGACTTAAAAATTCAAATAGTAATTTAATATAGATAGGTGTTGAATTGAATTACCTGAGCGGCTCGGGTCAATTGTTGTGCAGGACCTCAAGACGGCCGCCCTTTATTAAAAAAAAACAATACCAAAAAAAAAAAAAAAACGGTTGTGTATTATTAACTGCTGTAGTAGCGGATCGACGCAGAGTACTTCCTGAGATATGACTTGCATTATTATTATTTTTTAAATTTTCTTCTATTATTATTATTTTTTAATTTTTTAAGACATCTCATCTAAGAGAGAGGTCAGCTAGCTATCAAATGCAGACGAGTACTTCCTGAGATATGACTTGCATTATTATTATT